AAAGACAAAGAAAAAGTTCAGAAAAAAAGAAGACGAATGAGAAAAAGACAAAAGAAAAGAAAAAGAAACGAGAAGAAAAGACAAAGAAAAAGTTCAGAAAAAGAAATGTAGAAGAAGAGAACGAGAGAAAAGACAAAGAAAAAAGTTCAGAAAAGAAATGTAGAAGAAGACGAACGAGAAAAGACAAAGAAAAAAGGAGAAAAAAAAATGTAGAAGAAGACGAACGAGAAAAGACAAAAAAAAAGTTCAGAAAAGAAATGTAGAAGAAGAAGAAGACAAAGAAAAATGTTCAGAAAAGAAAAGAAAAGAGAAAAGAAAAAGAAAAAAGAAGAAGAAGAGAAAAGAAAAAAAAAGGAAGAAAAAGAATGAAGAAGAAGAGAAAAAAAGACAAAAAAAAAAGTTGAAGAAGAAAAAACGAGAAAAGACAAAGAAAAAGAAGAAAACGAACGAGAAGAAGAGAAAAAAGAGGAAAAGAAAAATGTTCAGAAAAGAAATGTAGAAGAAGACGAACGAGAAAAAGACAAAAAAAAGTTGAAAAAATGGAGAAAAAGAAAAGAAAAAGAAGACGAAAAGAGAAAAGAAAAAGAAGAAATGAGTTCAGAAAAGAAAAGGAAAAGAAAATGAAGAAGAAAAAGAGACAAAGAAAAAGAAGAAAAGACGAAGAAGAAGACGAACGAGAAAAGGAAAAGAAAAGTTAGAAAAGAAAGAAGAAGAAGAAAAGAAAAAAGAATAGAGAAAAGACAAAGAAAAAGAAAAAGAAATGTAGAAGAAGACGAAAAGAAAAGACAAAGAAAAAGTTCAGAAAAGAAATGAGAAGAAGAAGAAAAAGAGAAAAAAAAAAAAGAAAGAAAAAGACAAAGAAAAAAGAAAAAAGAAGAAGAAGAAGAGAAAAGAAAAAAGAAAAAAAAAAAAAGAAAAAGAAATGAAGAAGAAGACGAAAAAGACAAAGAAAAGAAAAGAAAAGAAATGAAGAAGAAGAAGACGAAGGAGAAAAGACAAAAAAAAAAGTTCAGAAAAGAAATGAAGAAGAAGACGAACGAGAAAAGACAAAGAAAATGTTCAGAAAAAAAGAAGAAGAAAGAAGAAGAGAAGGAGAAAAAGAAAAAGAAAAAGAAGAAGAAAAGAAAACAAAGAAGAAGAACGATGTAGAAAAGAAAGAGAAAAGACAAAGAAAAAAGAAAAGAAATGTAGAAGAAGACGAATGAGAAAAGAAAAAGAAAAAGAAAAAAGAAGAAGAAGAAAGAAAGACAAAGAAAAAGAAGAAAAAAAGACGAAGAAGAAGAGAAGAAAAACAAAGAAAAAGAAAAGAAGAAGAGGAATGAGAAAAGAAAAGAAGAAGAAAAGAGTAGAAGAAGAAAAAAAGAAAAAAGAAAAAAAAGAAAAAGAAAGAAGAAGACGGAGAAAAGACAAAGAAAAAAGAAAAGAAATGTAGAAGAGAAGAGAAACGAGAAAAGAAAAAAAAAAATGTAGAAGAAAAGAAAAGGAAAAGAAGAAGAAGAGAAAACGAGAAAAAGACAAAAAAAGAAAAAAAGGAGAAAAAAAATGACAAAGAAGAAGAAGAGAAGTAGAAGAAGAAAAGAAAAAAAAAAGAAAAAGAAAAAAAGTAGAAGAAGAGAAGAGAAAAGACAAAGAAAAAGTTCAGAAAAAAGAAAAAGAAGAGAACGAAAGAAAGAAAAAGAAAAGAAAAAGAAATGAAAAAAGAAAAGACAAAGAAAAAAGAAAAAGAGAAGAAGAAGGAAGAAAAAAAGGAAAAGAAAAAGTAAAGAAAAGAAAGAGAAGAAGACGAACGAGAAAAGACAAAGAAAAAAGTTCAGAAAAGAAATGAAGAAGAAGAAGAAGAGAAAAGAAAGAAAAAAAAAAAGAAAAAGAAAAAAGAAGGAGAAAAAAGAAAAGAAAGAAAAAAGACGAAAGAGAAAGAGAAAAGACAAAGAAAAAGTCAGAAGAAAAGAAATGTAGAAGAGAAGACGAAAGAGAAAAGAAAAAAAGAAAAAAAAAAAAGTTCAGAAAAACAAAGAAAAGATGAAGAAGAAGAAGAAACGAAAGAAAAAAGAAAAGAAAAAAGAAGAGGAAGGAAGAAGAAAAAGAAAAGAAATGTAGAAGAAGACGAACGAGAAAAGACAAAGAAAAAAGAAAAAGAAAATAAAGAAGAAGAAAAGAAAAGACAAAGAAAAAGTTCAGAAAAAGAAATGAAGAAGAGAAAGAAAAAAAAAAAAAGTTCAGAAAGAAATGAAGAAGAAGAAGAACGAAAAGACAAAAAGAAAAAAGAAAAGAAAAAAGAAAAATGAAGAGAAAAGACAAAGAGGAGCAAAGAAAAAAGACGAACGAGAAAAGACAAAGAAAATGTTCAGAAAAGAAATGTAGGAAGAAGAAGACGAACGAGAAAAGACAAAGAAAAAAAAAAGAAAAAGAAATGTAGAAGAAGAAGAGGAGAGAAAAAGAAAAAAAAAAAGAAAAAGAAAAGAAATGTAGAAGAAGAGAAAAGACAAAGAAAAAGAAAAAGAAAAAAAGAGAAGAAAAAAAGAAAAAGAAAAAAGAAAAGAAGAAGACGAGAAAAAAGACAAAGAAAAAAGAAAAAAATGAAGAAGAAAAAGAGAAAAGAAAGAAAAAGGAAAAAAGAAAAGAAAGAAGAAGAAGAAAAAGAAAAAAAAAAAAAGAAAAAGAGGAAAGGAAAAGAAGAAAAAAGAAGAAAATGAGAAAAGGAAAAGAAAAAGAAAAGAAAAGAAAAAGAAAAGAACGAAGAGGAAAAGGAGAAAAAGAAAAAAAGAGGAGAAAAGAAAATAGAAGAAGAAGAGAAAGGAAAAAAAAACAAAGAAAAGTTCAGAAAAAGAGGAGAAGAAGAAGAAAAGAAAAGAAAAGAAAAAAGTTCAGAAAAAAAAAGAAAAGAGAACGAGAAAAAGAAAAATGTAGAAAAGAAAAGAGAAGAAGAAGAAAAGACAAAAAAAAAAGAAAAAAAAGAAAAGAAAAAGAAAAAAAAAAAAGAAAAAGAAAAGAAGAGGAAGAGGAAGAAAAAAGGAAAAGAAAATGGAGAAGAGAAAGAGGAAGAAGGAAGAAAGAAGAAAAGAAAAAAAAGAAAGTTCAGAAAAGAAAAGAAAAGAAAGAAAGAGAAGAAGACGAAAGAAAAAAAGACAAAAGAAAAAAGAAGAAGAAGAAGAAAAAAAGAAAAAAAGAAAAGAAAGAAGAAGACGAAGAGAAAAGACAAAGAAAAAGTTCAGAAAAGAAATGAAGAAGAAGAAGAAGAGAAAAAGACAAAGAAAAGAGAGAAAAGAAAAGAAGAAGAGAATGAGAAAAGACAAAGAAAAAGAGAAAAGAAATGTAGAAGAAGACGAACGAGAAAAGAGAAAAAAAAGTTCAGAAAAGAAAAAGAAGAAGGAATGAGAAAAAGAAAAGAAAAAAGAAAAAATGTAGAAGAAGAAATGAGAAAAGACAAAAGAAAAGAAAAGAAATGAATGAGAAAAGACAAAGAAAAAGAAAAAGGAAAGAAAACAAAGAAAAGAAATGTAGAAGAAGACGAACGAGAAAAAAGACAAAGAAAAAGTTCAGAAAAAAAAAGAAGAAGAGGAAGAGAAAAGAAAAAGAAAAAAGAAAAGAAATGAAGAAGAAGACGAGAAGAGAAAAGAGGGAAGAAAAGAAGAAGAAAAAAAAGTAAAGAAGAGGAAGAGGAAAGAGAGAAAAGAAAAAAAGTTCAGAAAAGAAATGTAGAAGAAGACGAATGAGAAAAGAAAAGAAAAAGTTCAGAAAAGAAATGTAGAAGAAGACGAAGGAGAAAAGAAAAAAAAGTTCAGAAAAAGACGTAGAAGAAGACGAAAGAGAAAAGACAAAAAAAAAAGAGAAAAGAAAGAAGAAGAAGACGAAGGAGAAAAACAAAGAAAAAGAAAAAAAGAAGAAGAAGACGAACGAGAAAAAGAAAGAAAAAAGTTCAGAAAAGAATGTAGAAGAAGACGAAGAGAAAAGAAGAAAAAGGAGAAAAAGAAAAAAAGACGAACGAGGAAAAGACAAGAAAAAGTTCAGAAAAGAAAAGAAGAACGAACGAGAAAAGACAAAAAAAAATGTCAGAAAAAGAAATGTTGAAGAAGAAGACGAAAAACGAGAAAAGACAAAGAAAAAGAAAAAGAAAAGAGAAGAAGAAAAGAGAAAAGAAAAAGAAAAAAGTTCAAAAAAAAATGTAGAAGAAGAAGACGAACGAGAAAAGACAAAGAAAAAAGTTCAGAAAAGAAAGAAGAAGAAGACGAACGAGAAAAGACAAAGAAAAAGTTCAGAAAAATCAAGGTTGAAGAAGAAGACGAACAAGAAAAGACAAAGAAAAAGTTCAGAAAAGAACGTTGAAGAAGAAGACGAACGAGAAAACAAAGAAAAAAAGAAAAAGAACGAGAAAAAAGACAAAGAAAAAAGAAGAAAAAGAAATGTAGAAAGAGAACGAAAGAAAAAAAAGAAAAAAATTTGAAAGAAGAAGACGAACTAGAAAAGACAAAGAAAAAGTTCAGAAAAGACACGTAGAAGAAGACGAACGAGAAAAGACAAAGAAAAAGTGCAGAAAAATCACGATGAAGAAGACGAACGAGAAAAGACAAAGAAAAAGTTCAGAAAAGAAATGTAGAAGAAGACGAACGAGAAAAGACAAAGAAAAAGTTCAGAAAAGAAATGTAGAAGAAGACGAACGAGAAAAGACAAAGAAAAAGTTCAGAAAAGACATGAAGAAGAAGACGAACGAGAAAAGACAAAGAAAAGTTCAAATTAGAAGACGAACGAGAAAAAAGAAGAAAAGAAGAAACGAGAAAAGACAAAGTTTTAAAATTTTTTCTTCCTTTTTTCTTCTACATTTTTATTTTCCTCTTTTATGTCCAAAAATAGTTAATAAGAAATTCTGAGACAGAAATTTTCGTATTTCTGCCATTTTTCTCCCATGAGAAAAAAAATATTCTCATCTTATTCACAGGTGTGTCAGAAGCAACAAAAGGGAAATTTTGTTTGTAATTACATGAAATCAAGTCTAAAAGAAATCAATGTTTTCACATGGAACACGTCCAACTCACCCATGGGCCAATTGTATTGCACAGTTCACACCAAATTTTGTGTTACATTGGTTTTACATCAACATCCAAATATGTTTTACCTGTAACCTTTTAGGGTCATAGGGCACAACATTTACTGCAACCATTGCAACTGTGTGTATTTAAGGCAAGGTCACCTGACAACACCTTCACATTCTTCAGGCTGGTTTTGAATTCAGTGTTTTCCTTCTTCTAGAATGGTTGCCACCTTAAGGAAAATTTGTCCTGCCTGCCTTGCTATTTTACTCAAAGCATGAAGAAGATGGAATCATGTCTTTTGCAAGGGCATTAGCATGAAGGAAACAAATCAAAATAGAGAATTATGCTTAATTCAGTCCCTGCACTGACAGACATTACTTCATCCATGTCTCTAACAACATCAAAATGTTTACTTTTAAAAACTCTTATGTTTAATAAAGTAAGTGGGTATAATATTAGGGTATATGGAAAAGTCTTTGAAATAACTCATTTTTTGGGGTGGGGGGAAGTGATTAGGAAAGCTGAGAAATTTTTAGGCCAGTTGTGTTGGCCATGCTTCAAGGAAGATACATCACATAGAATATTCTTGGTATTAAGTTGTTCACAAAACAATGTCCAATTGTAGAATCATTCCTGAATGAATTTAAACAGAGTTTAAATCAGTCAAAATAGGAACCAGTTTCTGCCATCGAGGTACAAAGTTATTTATGCCCCTAGAAATAAAATTCTAAAGGTTTTCATAGCAAAATATCTTTGAATTTTTTACATATTCTTTGCAACAGTTTGCCTGCCTATCTATCTATCTATCTATCTATCTATCTATCACAACTTGTTCATATCTATCTATCTATCTATCTATCTATCTCATTCTGTTCATATCTATCTATCTATCTATCTATCTATCTATCTATCTATCTATCTATCTATCTCATTCTGTTCATATCTATCTATCTAACAATTTTTTTCAGTCTTTTAATGTCTACCTATCTATTATTTAGGTTGTTCAAAAAATAATGTCTGATTTTAGAATCAATTTTTTTATTCCTGAATTAGTGTATTTTAACAATGTTTAAATCAGTCAAATATGAACCCTGGGCATCTAACCATTTCTGCTATTGAGTCACAAGGTTATTTATGCTCTTGCAATAAAATTCCTAAGGTTTGCATAGCAAAATAACATTGAAATTTCTACATCTTCTTTGCAACAGATTGCCTATTTATCTATCTATCTATCTATCTATCTATCTATCTATCTAGTTCTATTTGTATTGACATATCTCGGTTTGTCCATATCTGTCTATCTAAGTCTCTTCATCTATCTATCTATCTATCTATCTATCTATCTATCTATCTATCTATCTCTTTCTGTCCACATCTATCTATCTATCTATCTATCTATTTTTTTCAGTCTTTTCATGTCTACTTATCTATCTTTTAGGTTGTTCAGAAAATAATGTCTTTATCCCTGAATTAATGTATTTTAACAATGTTTAAATCAGTCAAATATGAACCCTGGACATCTAACCATTTCTGCTATTGAGTCTATTAATGCTTTTACAATAAAATCCTAAATGTTTATTAGCCAAGAAATCTTGATGCCAAAAAGATGCATCTTTTTTTGCAACAAAATGTCTTTTGGCTTAAAAAATGTCAAGGTGCTTGAAAAAGTGGTTTTCAGTAGGGGAGATGTCAGGGGAATATAGTGGCTGAGGCAAAGTTTTTTGTTATCCCCAATTAGCAAGCACCTGCCATGTCATCCTTGCAACATGTGACCAAGCATATCATGATATGAACCAGAATTGGACTTTATCAATTAACCAGTCCCAGTCACATTCACTTATGTGCTAATACCCTTCAGAAAAGTATTAATCCTCTTCTTCTCCCTCCAGCTATGGGTAAATAACAGGACAGACTGGGTTCTAGGAGAAGGAGAAGGAAAACTCTGAATTCAAAACCTGTGGAGGGTTGTTTGGGGTCATTGTGAGATGTAGTGCACCAGGTCCCTGAATTCAGCCCTTCAAAAAGTGTGGTTGGTTCTGCACAAAGCCTTCACCACTACAATCACATCATATGTGCTGGTGACTGGCTGTCGGTTCCTAGGATCTGAGCTGCTTGACACTCATAAGTTGAATATGACAGGTGAGTCCACCATATATGCAAGATACATCACATATTTGAGAACAGTATTCTGAAAGAGACTGATAAAATTAACAAAAAGGACACATTAATCATTAGGAGAGGGTAAGAAAGCAGAAAAGAAGAAAGAAAAGGTGGAGAAAGGAGAGAGTAAGAAAGAAGAAAGCTGAAAAAAAGAAAGAAAAGGTGGAAGAAGGAGAGGATAAGAAAGAAGAAATCTGAAAAAAAAGAAAGAAAAGGTTGAAGAAGGAGAGGATAAGAAAGAAGAAATCTGAAAAGAAGAAAGAAAAGTTGATGAAAGAAGGAGAGGGTAAGAAAGAAGAAATCTGAAGAGAACAAAGAAAAGGCAGAAAAAGAAGGAGAGGGTAAAAAAGCTGAAAAGAAGAAAGGAAAGGCAGAGGAAGGAGAGGAAAAGAAAGAAGGAATCTGAAAAGAAGAAAGAACGCATGGAAGAAGGAGAGGGTGAGAAAGAAGGAATCTGAAAAGAAGAAAAAAATGTTGATGAAAGAAGGAGGGGATAAGAAAAAAGAAATCTTAAAAGAAAGAAAATAATATATTTTGTCCAACTATTATAATAATAATATATTAGAACAGAATTAAAAGGTTTATTCTAAAATTGGATATCTTTTTTCAGAATGACCTAATAATTCTTCCTGGTTACACTGAGACATTTTTAGATTAATCTGGCACAACGCTATAGGAGAAAGAAACAAGAATTTGAAACAGTGGAGTACCCTACATTCGTGTTACCAGGAGTCGTTTCAGAATTTGCCACTTATCAAAAGCAACATTACAAAAATAGGCAACGTCGATGGCATTCCTTACAGCATCCTAATTGATTATACTATTTATTATATTATTCATTTTCATCTAATGGTCACCTCCCCCAAACATGTCATTCAAGGTGGACAGTCAATTCTTCTAGATCTACTAATAGTATAAAGACTGTATTGTACCAATCAATACTGTGTCATCTGCATATCTGATGTAATGAATAAGCATACACCTGCATTCCCTGTCACATTAATATGATTGGTTGGTGTCAGCCATAAAAACAGACTGATGTGGAGGTACATGTTGACACCTATTGGCTATGCCTATTGCCTACCCCTACGACGAGGACCAGTCCATTACGGTTACCTGCTAGATTGTCCTACACAGTTACAGTAGTCCAAAAACCACTTTGCTACTTTGTTGTGGTAGGATCCACCTAATTTGCATAGTGGAGTACCGACCATATAAATATGGTTGGTACCAGGAAGAGAGGGAGGAATCAAGAGATTCAACCAGAGACTCTGCCTGACTGTGACTCAGTCAACACATTCTCCAGGAACAGTCTTACCAGGAATATACAAAAGACTATATGTAAATATTGTGTACACTTTCTTGTTTCAATACATTTTGTTCTAAGTACATTTTGTGTTGCATTATTATTCCATGCATTAGTCAAGTTTCAACATACTTCAAACAAATATATCCCTTTTTGGAATATATTCTATATCTTATGTTGTTAAGATTGCAGCCACCAATGCTAAATCTTGGTAGGTTTTCCAATTCTCTCAGAATTGCCTTGCTGTATAGGTTGAACAGGTCAGGTGAGAAGACGCATCCTTGCCTTATACTCCTTTCTGTTTTTGTATATTCACTGAACCAGTTCTCTATGCACATGCATGCTGTTTGCTACTAGTATAGGTTCTTGATTATTCTGATATCTTTCCCAAATATATCAAGGTTGCTGAGCAATTCCATCAGATACAGATGACACAGTACTGGTAACGAACACGGAAATGAAATTATAAAAGGTAGCAACGGAGAGTGAGAAGAAAGGACTAAGCATAAACTACAAGAAGACAAAATGCATGGTCATCAGTAAGAGGAAGAGCCCGAAATGCGATTTGAAGGTCAGGAACACTAGAATCGAGCAGACGCAGAAGTTTAAATATCTGGGAAGCGTCTTGACAGAGGACGGTAAGTGCAACACTGAGATCCATAGATGTATTGGGATGGTCACGGACACATTCCAAAAGCTGGGCGTAGTACTGCAAGACAGGAGGATTTCTTTGGTAACAAAGAAAAGAATACTGTTACGTGACATCTGTCCTTCTCTATGGCAGCAAATGTTGGATGATTTCCTTAAAGATGAAGAAGAGACTCAAGGTAACAGAGATATGGTTCTACAGAAGGAAGCTAAGGATATCATGGACCGAGCATGTAAGCAACGATGAGGTCTTGCAAACAAAGAGGAGGCTTATACTTAAGAGGCAGCTGAAGTTTCTGGGACATAATGAGGAAGGAGGGCCTAGAGAATCTGATACTCACGGGTTGAATATAGGGAAAGAGAGACAAGGGAAAACAACGTGTGACATACATGGTGAACTTAAACAAGTGGATAACAGAACGTAGTCTGGGGGAGGAAGCAGAAGGGAGGAACTTGTTGCGAGCTGCATGGGATAGAGAGATGTGGAGAGCCATGATCGCCTATATCCTGAAAGGACATAGCACATAAAAAGAAAAGAAATTGTACCAATCATTCAAGTGCAATAACTTTGAAAATCAGCATTCAAAATGATAGCTTTTACCAAGGTTTGAACACCAGCCAACAAGTGGGGAAAGGCATTACTGCCTCAGCTGGTAAAAAAAGCTTTATGCATGACCAATGTGGAAGAGTTAATGAACCATGAAAATTTTAGTTTTCTATTCATTCAATGGGTACGTATAACCAGTGGTGAATATGGGAGAGCAAGGTGATTTGTGAGAAAGGGGGACAAATAATAAAATGTAAGAAAGAAGAAAACTGAAGAGAAGAAAGAATGATGAAAGAAGGAGAGGGTAAGAAAGAAGAAAAAAGAGAAGAAAGAAAAGGTGGAGAAAGAAAAGGTGAAAGAAGGAAGAGAAGAAAGAATGATGAAAGAAATCAGAAAAGAAAAGAAAGAAAAGGTGAAGGAAGGAGAGGGTAAGAAAGTAGAAATCAGAAAAGAAGAAAGAAAAGGCAGAGGAAGGAGAGGATAAGAAAGAAGGAATCTGAAAAGAAGACATGGAAGAAGTGTAGGGTAAGAAAGAAGAAATTTGACTAAAAGAAAAGAAAAAATAAATTAAGGGAAAGAAGAAAAATAAGAAGAAAAAGGTAAAGAAAAAGAAAAGAGAAATGAGAAAAAGAAGACAGAAAAGAAAGAGAAAAAGTGCAAAGAAGAAAAGAATAAGTAAAGAAAGAAAGAAAGAAAGAAAGAAAGAAAGAAAGAAAGAAAGGAAGGAAGAAAGAAAGGAGGAAAGAAATAAAGAAAGAAAGGATGACGTGGAAAAGAAAGATGGAAAAATAAAGTGAAGATCAAAGAAAGAAGGAAGGGAAAGAAGAGCACAAATAAAAAAGGAAATGAAAGAAAAAAGATGAAGAAAAAGAAGACAAGTCAGTAAAAGAAGACAATGAAGCAGAAAAAGAGGAGGGGAAAAAATCTTGAAAAAAGATGAAAAGGACAAAATCGAATAAAATAGTTGAAAGAGAATCCACGGTGTGGAGATGAAGAAGAGGAAAATGAAGAAGTAAAAAGGAGAAAAGAATGAAAAAAATATATGCAAAGAAGAAAGCATGTTGAACAACATAAGAAATGAATAAAATAAAGAGGAAAGAAAGAAACTAAAGAAAAACACTGAGCCTGGAATCTAGAATAACTCTACGAATAGATAACTGTTCGTGATAATGTTCTGACTGTTCATCAGCACCATCAATGGAACTAGCAATTCTGTCGACATTATTACATTTGTTATGTTGTAGGCAAAACTAGGATTTTGCTATTCATAGGAAGTATAGCAGCAGCAGCAGCTGTGCATTAAAACTACTCAGCTCTCATTACCCACCTCAGTCCCTCCCATGTTGTCGTTGCTATTGCAACAGCCTCATTTATTGACTCCTCCCCAGATGACTGTTGGGTGTGGGGAATGGAGAAGTACAGGTAGTGCGGCTCATCATGTAAAGATGTTTCAATTAATATTAAAGATGTCTTCTGGAATTTAACTCCATTCCATGATGATCTACTTGGATGTTGATGATCATATTACTCTTGTTCATATCACTCCCCTTTCTTTTCTTTTTTTTTTCTTTCTTGCCTTTGTTTGATATCTCCTTGGTTCTACTTTCACTTTCACTTTCACTTTCATTTGAATTTTCACAAATTAACCAACTAATAGATGACAGTAATCCTGCTTTCTCTCCTGAGGCCAATGTACTGATGATGAGTGGGAGGCTATGTTGATGACATAGGCATTCATAGTTTGGATAAGATCCTTTATTTCAAGTATTCCAAGAAATAGAACTGAAAATAAACCTCGCCAAAACAAAAACTGTGATCTGGAATTGGAATGAAAGCAGTGATGGCACCTACCCAGAATCCATCAGGATGTGATGTCAGTAAATATCAAACACTGCATTTAGCTATAACAAATTTAGTGTAGGAAATAAAAAAACTGAACATTATATCGGCTGCTCTAGAGGTAGTTTCATCCAACACTGCAAATTGCAACAAAACCAAAATATCAACCTGAAAACTCAAGTCATGTTCTTAAATAGACTCATCAGATCGAGACATCATATGGATGTCATGCATGGTTCCAAAGCCATTCAGAAATATCAAAACTGTAAGTTGCAAACAAATTCTAAGATCAGTTTTTAAAAATGGCTTTGAGCGAGGTTGTTATGAAGATCACACTTCTTCAAATCTTGTTAATCTTACCATTTCTATCAGAGATGAGAAGAACAGATACTACATTTTGATCATAGTTTGATATCCTGGGAGTGAAGAAAGCATAACTCATGTAGCTGTGGCTGCTCGGTCAATAAATGTTGAATGTTTCCGTATGAGGAAACAGCTGATATTACCATTTCCATCAGAGATGTGGAGAACAGATACTACACTTTGATCCCAGCTTTATGTCCAAGGAGTGAAGAAAGCATAACTCTTCTAGCTCTGGCTGCACGGTCAATGAATGCCAAATGTTTCTTTATAAGGAAACGGCTAATGTCACCATTGCCATTAGAGATGAGGAGAACAGATACTGCCCTTTGATACCAGCCTTGATAAGTCAGGGAGTGAAATGTAACTTGTGTAGTTCCAGCTGCTCAGTCAATGAATGCCAAATGTTTCCTTATGAGAAAATGGCTACTATTGCAATTGCCATCTTTCTTCTTTTTATTTGAGAATTTAAACAAATCATTCATTATTTTGTCCATCTTTTTCTCCGTTTAGTTGCTTTACTGTCTCAGCTCTTATTCCATCACAATTTGAATTTTATAGTAACTACTATTAGCAAAGTTGTTTTTTCTTGTCTATATTTCTGAGATGAGGTATTGTATGTACATTATTTTATATGAGGTATTGTATGTACATTATTTACATTATTCGGACTATTGTCCTCATCTTTGTCGCCATATTTATCACAACATTTCCAGCCTTCTTCAGGTGGTTGGAATGTCGAACTGGACCCTTTATTTCGCTCGCTGGGGTAGACTGTTCTAGTTCCACGTGCCATGTTTGATGAATGTCAGTTATCAGTTACCTCCTGTTAATTTCCCTCTGAAAGTTCTCCACTGGTATTGAACTCACACTCTTTGGGTCCTGTCACTGGATCTAACCAACGCCTTTATCCACTGTGCATGTGTCCTTATTTTTTCTTCTTTTTGTTTATTATTATTATTATTATTGTTATTGCTAGTAGTAGTTGTAGTAGTAGCTATTTTATTATTTTACTTCTAGGATCAGAGTGTAGTACCTTCTATACTGGATTTAATTGATTTGTTTGCTTAATGGCATGTCAACTCCTTGTGGGTCATTTACTGACAAAATTTAATTTTGTTAGGAGCTTTGCAGTCATAAAAATGTTATTCTGGTTTGACAGTTGAATACATGGTAGATGATACTCAGCTTTTGTGCAAAAACATGTTTGTGTGGACATAATGATCAGAGATCAGTGATATATATGTTTTAAATTATCGTTTTGTTGAAGTTATATTTTGGAATACAGTTTGATTTAAGAAATTGTCAGATATTATATGGCTTAATGTAATAAAAAAGTTGTTTTATGTTCATTGTTTGGTAGTATGTTAAACAGATTTGGGTGAAGTTGCTAAATTTGTTAGTATGTGTGTATTGTCGGTAATTTTATGATAAATATGTATTGTTGGTAATTTTTTATGTAAAAATCTATTGCTGGCTGGTATTTTTACTACAAAAATGGATTTTTATACTTTCATCGTGTTTTGTTTCGGGGTTCACTTTTTTTCTGTAGTTGGGACTTTAACAGGTGCTACCACCTTGGGTCAGGATGGAACTAGAATGACAGCAATTAAGAGGTAGTTCCGCACTTTTCAAAACCTCCAATCACCTGATCAGAGGCTTTGTTGCTGGATGTAGCTTATAATCATACCTAGGACTAATTCTATACTCGAACAAGTCGCACTTTCTGAGTAGACTGCATAACATTAAGGAATTGTAAAAAGGGAGTAAAAATAGGAACAGTGTAAAAGAGGGTGCAAAAAAGGAAAGATAGGAAGTAAGGATGGGAAAATGCAAAATATATATATATATATATATATATATATATTTGCTTAAAAGATGTCCTATTGGGTGGCATTTAAGCTAGCTACTGCAGAGAGCTCTTGATTAGGCCTTCATCATAATAGTTTGGAAGTAGATGCAATAGGCACACAATAAACTACAGAAGAACTCAAAATTGATCGCTGCATTAAGGTATTGCATTAATATTTAAGCTTACCTTTTAAAAGTTCAACGATAATTCTTCTGCTCTCTCTTGCTCTCAAAAATGTCATACAAATGCACACAGGCAAATATATAATAATACTAGCTTAAAAGAAGCCATATTGGGCAGCATTTAAGCTAGCTCATTTGGAGGGCTCTTGGTTGGGCCTTCGGCTTGTTCAAGAGTTTGAGAGTCTTTAAGTCTTTGCATATTCTCAGCATTGGCAGTTCTCCTGGCTGCCATTTGATCCGGGTTTTCATTTGCACAGACTTTTTTTTTTCTCGCTGCATCCTTGACTCTTTTGATTGCAATATGGTCGTTTGTTGGCGGAGATTTCTTTTTGCAAGGCATACTGCTGCCGTATGCAATAGGCAGCAATAAACTACAGAAGAACTCAAAATTGATTGCTGCATTTAAGTATTGCATTAAAATTTAAGCTTACCTTTTAAAAGTTTTGATTATTCCCGAATTTATTTCTAAGTTATAAAAATTGTTATCATACAAAAAATTTGTCACAAAAAATCACATAAAAATATCACCAAAAACAATTACAGTAATGAAAACTTCAAGGATTGCAGGTTCGGATCAGGCACAGAATGTTTTTAATTTACTCACAAAATCGGCCTGATTTCAAAATGGTATGATATCTTGGGTGATGGCCACGAGGAGTAAAGTTAAATAAGTGTGACACAGTGACACACTGACATTCACATTTATTATAAAGAATTTTAACATTTACAACATTATTATAAGTGACGGAACTGTCCCATCTACCCAGTTTCAATATATACACACACACACCCACAACAAATTTCACACACACACACACACACTGCTGCCATATATATATATATATATATATATATTAGATGAATCAACATACAAAATAGATTGCTAAATTTATGATATAAATGGCAAAAACATCTTCGCAAAACAAATTTAAAAGTTTTTGATTATCAATGAATTTATTTCCCTGTTTTAATAACTTCAAGTTCTATAAGATTTTTTTTATTTTCTCTACAAAAATCAGCTGTACTTACATCCATCAAAAGGCATGGAAATTCATTTTTTTTTTTTTTAGTAAATCCAGGTTAGTAGCAGGAGATGAAAGATTAAATGTTAATCAAAATATGTTTTTTTTAGAAATGTGTTATTATTAACAGATAAGAAATTTTGGAGCATGCAGTCACACCGCTAAGGTTGAATTTTTTTTTGAAAATTTAAGAGAGTGCGTTTTTTACTAATATGGTAATTTGAGAATATTTTGTTGTAGGAGTTTATCCGTCAATGTGGCATGAACTAAATTGTTCAATAAATAGAGTAATGTCACAACTGTTATCCCGAAAATTTGCACGTCGGATCAATTCTTTTTAAATCAAATATGTGGTGCATTATTACATGAATATATATAAAAATATATATAAATATAGTAGAGGTATGTTCATTTATACAAAAAGTGATTAGTAAAGTTAATGTAAATATAAATGGCAAAACCATCTTCAAAACAAATTTATAAAAGTTAGGTTCAACCTGAACTCAATCTTCAGGTCAATTCAATAATGTTATGATGAAACAGATTGTTGTTTTCACTAGGTTCAAGTTCTATAAGATCTTTTTTTTATTATGCTAGTATATATATATGTATATATATATATCCTATAGGCATATATATTCATTTTTATATATATATATATATATGCAGGAGATGAAATATTAAATATTAATCAAAAATGTTTTTTAAAAAAATGTTATTAACAGATAAGAAATTTGTTTTAATGTTAATATGTCAACGTCTGTTTGCTAATAAACCATCTTTCAGGACATATTTAAATTAACAT